GCTGTGTATTTGTAAACGCTGCTGCAGATTAGGAGACAGAGCCACAGCACTGAGTGATCTGTCACTTTTATGAAAAAACAAGGTCATTAAGTAGTAGATGTTTGAGTTGTTTTTGGAGCAAGAGGATCATGTTTAATGTTGCTTTAACTGATAAAATGTGCACAAACACTTTAAACTTCAAGATGCCGCTGAATCTCTCTCCAATTGATTTTTGCAACTCACACCTTGTTTGTGATTATATGGTAAAACACATGCAAAGATCAAAGGTGCAAAGTGAAATGCTGCAGTCGCCCCCATCTCACTGTCCACTTACAGTATGTGTATGACTGGTTTTAGCTTTTTCAAGTTAACCATCTTCTGAATGTATGGCTAGGTCAATAGTAGCTAGAACTGCTCAGTTCATTATGGAGCTCTGCCATTGACAAGCATTTACTTTTTTTTCTTCTTTTACATTAGCTGTAGGACCAGTTCTTTTATCATACATTTTGTTAAACACTTAGTTTTTCAAGATATCTCAAAGAATGACCAGTGAGTGGAATTTGGGTATGGTGGTTTATGTGCTGCAAAACCTATGAAGTGTTTCTTTAAACATTCCATTACAGTAATTGGACAGTTGTAGACTCATAGACTTAGAACTCTCTGCCAAAACACTTCTTTAACTGTTGACATCTTAAGCTAATATTATTTGAATTAAAATTAAACATTTATATGATGCAGGAGCAACGACAGCAAACAGCCCTTTAATCTTAATTTGTTAACTGATTTAGCTTCCATTACTCCTGTTTATAGAGGAGACCATCAGTACAAGTTCCAGCTCTAAAATATCTCATGACCTGCTCGAGACTTGTTTGGCCAGTCTCCTCTGCTTATCATGTGCTAAATATTGTTGTAAGTAGGATGTAAACTTAAAAGGGGTAAATATCCCTTAATTTTGTTTTCCCACACTGACAGAACATAGAACACTGAAAACTTGCAAATTACTCTAAACTGTTATGTTTTCCCAGGTCTTCTGCCAACATAGGCTCTCCTCAACTGTTGTTCAAAGCTGGTCTTCTGTCTGTGCTTCTCTGGGATTTTCATTGTTGATTCCAGTTCTTGTCTGTTGCTTCCACAAACACCTGCAACTCTTAATACAGGAAAGGAGCTGTTGTGTGCATTTTATCATATCTCATCTTGTTGCTAAGGATACAGGGAATATTCTCCTTTTTCTGCCTGGTGTTGCTTCTGCCTGGCAACAAAGATTATGTATAGCACTTCATTAGTGTCTAAACTTTATCCAGTTCCTAGCTTTATTAGCTGGAAAAAAAAATCTTGCAATTCCTACGAAATGTTACAGTATATGCTGATTATAGCACCAAGGCAAGAAAAAGTGTTGGGGCTAAGCTACACAGGCGATTTTAATCTCTTGCTAGTAAGCGATTTAGTAACTTGTTGGAAATCCCCTCATTAGCTAGACATTGATTTCATTGTGCTGCAAGTGAGGTGCCTTCTACTGAGAGACTAAATCTCTGAGCGGTAAGATACTTATGTGGCCTGTGTGTGTTTGTAAAGATAGAAAGATCTACAAATGCATTTGATAAGGTACAGTATCTAGTACCAGCAATATTTATGTGGTCAACAACAATACTTCAGTACACAAGCTTTCCAGTGATGTTTGGTTATAAAGAACCTACCTAAGGTGAAAAAAGAGAACATCAGTCTGAACTAATAACACTAGACAGGATAAATCTGTGCATTCTTGTTTGAATCAGTGGAATTTTCAAATTCTTAAATTTTACAGGATGATTTTTAAATTCCACATGCCAGGCAAAGTTTTTACTGAACTTTTCTAACCATTATCTGGCTTGTTCATCTGCCATTGTAGTTCATATATACCCTACTTCCCATACGTAAAAGAACAAAAAAAAAACCAAAATTACAGATTCGCTAAAATTCAGGCTTCTTCCAGCCGATCTGGTGGCATCACAAGTAACGAAAACCACTGTGTGCATGGATGATGGGCTGATCTCTATTCATACATAGTGCACTTTTTATTCGTGGAAGCTATAGTACAGCTTCTATGAATGGAGGTGGGTGGGTGTTGAAGGATGGACATAGTTGGCACTCTTGACAAGTGCCTATGCAAAGTCTAGCAGCTGTATTAAATCTTGCAGCACCAGAAGATAACTGCTGTGGTGGTGAGGGACCCAGAGGACTGAAGATTTCATCTAAGACAGCAGCAGAGATTTTAAAATAACTGTGAAGGAATCAATATAAATGTCGGAGTTGAGATTTAACAAGTTACTATGGTTATCAAAAGTATCACCATGGAGGAAAACCATGTTGTTTACTGTACAGATATCCAGGGGTTGGAAAAAATTATGGTAACAGAAGGTATAAAAGAATGAAAGTGTTACCTATTATGGTGTTGGACCACCTTTTGGCATCCAAGAAGGCCTGAATTCTCCTGGAAATTGACAAATATAAGTCTTGGATGGTGGATAATGGAATCTGATACTCTTCAAGCAAAAATTGTTCCAGTTTTCGTGGAGATGCTGGAGGCGGAAAACAAGCTCGAACATTGTTCTACAAAATTGACCATAGTGTCTCTATGATATTGATGTCCAGCGACTGCGATGCCCAGGGAAAGTGCAAGACTTCGTCTACGTGCTCGTCAAACCACGATCTGACATCCCCAGCTGTGTGAATCAGAGCATTATCGTTTTGGTAAATGGCTCTGTGTTCAGAAATCAATGTCTGCACCATGGGGTGCACATGGTCAGCTAAAACGTGTACATAATCACTGGCAGTGATACTACCTTTCAATGTGATAATGAGGCCTGCAGAATACCAAGATATGGCTGCCCAAACCATGACTGCGGTTCCACCATGCTTTACTGTTGGTACAAGACAATCCTGGTTGTGAGCTTGAGATGGTGTTTACCACACGTAAACACATCTGGTGCTTGGGAACAATATGAAGCTCGATTCATATTGCAGTCTTTCATTGATCAATAGTCCACGATTTCTGGGTGTTGCACCACTCTTTCCTCTTCTGAGCACTTATATTGATCACTAGTGATTTGACAATTGCAGCTTTCCAATGAATGGTTTGCTTACGGAGCTCTCTAACAGTTTTTGTGAACACGGGCTTTGGACGACTGAGATTGATCTCTGCAGTCAGTTTTGCAGAAGTTGTTTTCTTATTCCGGGTCACAATCCTGCGCAATGTCTTTTTGCCTCTTTCAGTCAGTTGATCATATTGACCTGACTTATGCTTATCAAACGATGTTTCCCCAGAAACTGTATATACCGTCATAACCTTTTGATACTGTACCTCACGACACGGCAAATGAGTTGTCAACTTCAATCAGAAGCACCAGCTAAGCGCTCACCAACAATTTGCCCTCTGTGAATCTCAGTAAGCTCTGACACGACTCCGTATTACTAGCAGTACACACAGTGCATGACGAATGTAAGGCTTCTCACCTGTTAGCTAGATGTCTCATCACACAGCGAAAGCAAAAGAATGTTACATTACTTCCTCTTTCAACATGAAACATGTCACTTTCACACCTGCAAATCATGTAGTGTTTCCATATTTTGTCCAATCACTATAGTTCTTTAAATTGTCACTATTTCAGGGGCCTCTTAAAAAAAGACATAATTTTGACCTGTAATTGATAAAAGCAGCAGTAGAGAAATATAGGGTTTAGTAACGCGAGTAAAAGTATAGATATAAGTTCATGCTTGTAGCGTAGATGTAAAGATGTGTTTGTGGTATTTTTTATTTTTATACAGCGAAGACTGTAAAACAACATCCTATCAGGTTTTTTATTTTTTATAATAGGCATGCTTGCAGGAGGTTTTGTTAAGCTGCTCCTTGTTTATACTCTTGTGGAAAACGTGCACAAAACACATTTTTCCTGTTATGGTCTAGCCACTTCCTAATGCCGAAGCTAATTTGCAATGCCTGTTGTAAAATGATATACTTGTGAAGGGAGGATACAGGCAACTGATTTTGGTGAAATGATAGAAAGGTTAAGACATATGCTACCAGTTAATTACAGAAGCTGCTACAGAACATTTAGGACACGAGAATATACCAGAAGACTTTCCATGTTTCTAGAGTTTTGTAGTTCTCATTATGTAAATAATCATCTTGTATGCACATTAAATACATTAAAATCTCTAAAGTGCATCTAATCCCAATAGCAGAGTATAATATATTGCAGATTACCAGTCCTTAGATGTGGTGGCTGCATAAGGCCTCATGAACGTGGGAGTGAAAACCGGCATCAAGCATTTATTTTATATGCCTTTAAACCTAAGTTCAGTGTTGGCCTATGTGGCCATTCACATTGGATGTTTAGATCTGTATTTTAAGTGGTGTTTAGAGGCATACAAAAATGGAGAGGAGTTTGAGTGTTATTTACACATGAACGCACATAAACGTTGCTAAATATGTGCTTTTTGCGCTTTAATTCACTCTAGTGGCTAGAATACATGAATATTCTTGCCAATAAAACAAGTTTATGTTCAAATGCCTCCTAAACACCATCAGCATATAACTGAAAGTGGGGGAAAAAAACAAGAGATTAGAGGCATTTTGTTATGCTATTTCTGGAAGCAAATTGGGTGCCTCAATTTATAACCTGTGTGCATGAGGCCTTAGAAGAAGACGCTCACTCACCCTTCTTTATCAGGACAACTGAAACCAGGTAAGACTACAAAACCTCACCCCTCTTCATGTTATCCTTAACACAGAGGGGTGTCATTCTGTTGTCATCAGAGATAGCTGAATCGGCAGAATCAACAGGTGTTTTTTCTCTTAAACTGAAAAGAACTCTTTAAATGGTATATTTAACAGCGAAAAAATAAGAGAAGTTCGTTGTTAGGATTTACATATGCTTTAACCATCAATTGTATACAAACCTACCTCTGTTAACCGCTTTCCCACAAACCTATAGCAGAAAGACTGCTACAAGGCAGCAGAGGTGCACAAAATCACGCATATATACATGATGTTGCATTTCCGGGTAGGGGGGGCGCGCGCCATTCACGGCCTCAGCGGTCAATCACCGGGTCCCAGCCGGCGATTAGTTGTCGGCACCCAGTGATTGCCAAATATTACCATTGAGGGAGAGAACTGTATGTAAACAATACATTTCTCTCCCCTGTCAGCTCCTGCACACTGCTTTGTATGGCTGTGCATAGCCGAGCCATACAAAGCAGTGTGCTTACAGTGGAAAGCACAGACCCAGCTTCATAGTAAAACACATAGCACACAGTTAACCCTTTGATCTCCCAGATGTTACCCCTTTCTTGCCCAGTGCCATTAGTACAGTGTCAGTGCTTTTTATTAGCACTGATCACTGTATTGGTGTCAGTGATACCAAATCAGTTCCCCCCAGTGTCAGAATGCCCTCCGCAGTCACGCTATAAGTCACTGATCGCTGCCATTACTACTGAAATGAAAAATTAAAAAAAAAAAAGTTCCAGTATATGTACCGCCATTTGTAAACATTATAACTTTCACATAAACCAATTAAATTACACATATTGGTCTTTTTTTTTTATAGCAAAGACATGTAGCGGAATACATTATGCCCTAAAGTTATGACGAAATTTGATTTTTTTTACAAAAAAATTTATATCAAAAAGTCAATGTTTTTTCTCCTCAAAATTGTTGTTTTAAAAAAATTTTTATATTGCGAAAAATAAAAAAACGCAGAGGCGATCAAATATCACTGCAAGAAAGCTCTATTTGTGGGAGAAAACAAGGACGTAAATTTCATTTGAGTGCAGCGTTGCATGACCGTGCAAAATTGTCAGTTGAAGTAACTCAGTGCCATAACGCAAAAAATGGCCTGGTTGGGGGGGGGGGGGGGGGGGGGGGAGGGGTTAAATCCTCTGGAGGGCAAGTGGTTAAAGTGCAATTCCAGGCTAGACTTTTTTTTTTTTATAGAGTAGTGGAGGCGTAAAGCCTCTGTTGGGTTTTATTGTTGTTAAAGTGTTTGTTGGGGAACTTTCCCTTCACTTCCATCCTAGTAACCACTTTCACAATAAATAGAAGTGAGTGGAATATAGCCAGTGGGAATTTGGGAAGCAATACATACCTGTGTTGCCATTGGTAGTGACCGTTGTTGGAAACAGAGATTAGGGAAATCCATAAGCCAAAAACAGCAGTGAACAATCTGAGCCCATTTCTACTTTATTTAGATTACTGTGCTACATGATATGTTTATATTTCAGTTCTCTGTGTCTAAAAATAAAATCCACTTTTTAAAGAAAAAAAACCAAAACATTCCCCTCTGGGTGATCTATGTGCGTTGCAAGGATTTGAACCAACTTGGTTGCAGATTCCTACGTTTTTTACTCTTAAGAAATAGCTGTTTGTGTCCATGTGTAGAATGAGTCTATATGGGAGTGGTTTTCATAATTATTAGCTGCTGCACCTGCAGGGCTCTGATGAGGAAATTGGCAGGGTCTGCATCCCTTTAGACATGATTTCACTTTCGGTGTATCTCACCAAAAATTAAATTTTTGTTGCAGGAGATTCTTAAAATCTGACTTGTATCTTAGTGTATATTTCTGGGAAAATCCGTGAGCTATTCACATAAGACTGAAATTACATTTTCCAGGGGTGTTCTGTACGCCATCTGTGTACAGAACAACTCCAGGTAGCCATATTGCATTGCATTTTACAGAAAATTACAGTGTTGCAGATTGAATAGGAAAGGTAATTTTTAATAACTTTCAATTACAGTATGACTTGAGTTGCAATTGTATATGCTACATAATTTTATTTGCTAATTTTTTCCCATGAAAGTGGAGTTGCCCTTTAAAATTTGTCCTGTGGCCTTTGTCTCATACTGATATCTTGTTTACCTAGAGCAATTGCAATTTGAAGCAATACCAATATATTTAATATAAAATCTAATTTAATAAGTTTTGGACCATTCTTAGCCCCAATTTGTGACACTGAAAGACTCTTATGTAATATCCTCCGAAGCCTCATTATGGTAATCAGAGATAACATGTAGCTTTCCCTGCACATACATTATAAATGTGAAATTACTTATATATAGATAAGTATCAAAGTGCACCTGTTTAAAACCTTAACCTCTTGCTTAACATGCTCCAGCAAGGAAGGTGGGTTTTATTGCCAACATGCCACACATGCAGCCAAGGTTTTTGTTGAGAGCGATCACAGTTATAGAGCTGTCAGACAGATCCTGGTCTCTGGGTATGATTGGGAGCTGGTGGACAGGCTACTGATCATGAAATCACTGTGACAGCCAATCACAGTAATTTCGAGGTCGGAATTCCTGTCCCTAGAGTAAAGCCCAAGTTAAAGGGCTATGGGGAGAGAGTTGGGAAAAGGCTAGCAGGTTTTTTTTTTAAGGGTTTTCCACTATGAATACTAATCCTTTTCTGCTTAACAAAAATTTATCAGTTTTAGGGTCCTTTCACACGGGCGTTCAGTTTTTTTTTATCATTGCAGTCACGTTTTTTCCAGGAAAAAACCGGATCAGTTTTCCATCCGTTCACGTCAGTTTTTAATTGGTTTTTCATCAGTTTTTTGTTTGTTTTTTTTTAAATTTTACATCCGTTTTTCATCTGTTTACATCCATTTTTACATCCATTTGTTACATTTATTTACCAATGCAAAAATGGATCGTATGTCCATTTACATCCATTTTTTCGTCCGTTTTACATCCACTTACATCCGTGTTTCGTCCGTTCCATTTTTTTTTTTCATGGAAGAAAAACAGGGGTTGCTTCTGTTCAAAAAAAGAATGTTAATGGATGCGGACATTAACAGATGTAAACGGATGCTCATCCGTTTGTCTGCTAGTCCATAGAAATGCATGGGTGTCCTTTTTTCATGCATAAACTGACAGGTGAAAAACTGACATACAGAATGCCCCTGTAAAAGGGGCCTTTACTGTAAGTGCAAAAGCAAGTGCATTGTAAAAATTGGATCAGTATCTCAGCCCACTTTAGTTACTGAAAAGAGAAGTATGGGATGGATTTTTTTCCCCCAAATTACACTTCCTAAGCTGGATGCAGCATTGGTCCGATGCTGTATCTGTTCCCCGGAGGCTCTGAGTGTGAGAACTCAGCGATCACATGATTCCCGAGTTCCCCCTGTTGTTCTGAACAGACAGCGGTGACTGTCGGCTGAAAATGGGTCACAGGAGTGCAGAACAAACTGTACTTCTGTGATCTACAGGAGAAATACAGCCAAAAGAGCTTTGGCTGTACTTCTCCTTTAAAGAGGAGTTCCAGTCAGATTGATTATTAAAAGTCAGCGGCTACAAAAACTAATGTTTGTAAGCATAGTTTGAAGGAACTGCATTAAAGTGTGTATATGCAGTAAAGCATGTTTGTTATACTCACTGTAGAACCTAAGGGGTTAATCCTCTACATTGTGTAAAAAGGATGTTTGATCCTGTCTTTTCCGATCCTCATCTTCTACTGTCCTAAATATTTTGATAGGACAGAGCCTTGGGTGCAAATGCACATGCCCAGTTCAGTGTGTGTTGCTAGAAAGTTTTTTTTTTTCTATTTCTTGGGAGAGCGCATGTGAACAACACAGGGCCAATTAGCACTGTTCAGACAGAGGGGCAGGGGTTCTGCAGCCTCCTAGGACAAGAGGAGAATGGAAACTCCTCCTACAATTTTCAACCAATTCTCTGCTGAACACTGATAGAAGTCACAAGACTGCTCTAACTGCTGATGTGAAAAGGTATTTAGCAGCTTATATTTACTAAAATAATTAAATTTTCATGTTGTGTACTGTGGGAGACCAGATATAGTGAATGCAGGGTCCTGGGCTATGTAACACTTTAAAGATACTGCAAGCAGAATTTCTTCTACTGAACCACACCTAAAATGCATCACGGTGAACCAGTCCTAATAATCCAATTTTGTACTGCGCTCCAATCTATTTTACCTCATGTGATATAGTGAATACCTGTGTGTGCCACCAATTAACAAACAATTTCATCAAACCATGATACTTAAATACATAATTATATAAATGTGAAAGAAATGAGATTTTCTATAAATGTGAAAAAACGAAAAATGAAGTGGGAGAGGTGAATGTTTCTTTCCTATAATCTCCCAAATTGATTGATATTTCTCCTCTGTGTTTAATTTTAATCTGAACAAAACATCTATAAACATCTTCTCAATAGATCATTCTCCGCTGGCTGCTTGGCTTAATCCTCCATATATGGAACATGAAAAGAAGGGAAAAGAAACAAGGGAAAAAAGAAAGATATAGTATCGCTTTACATAAAATGTATCCAAATCTCATAAGGGTCAGCCTCATAGGTGTGTCTGCATCCACAGAGGAACGGCAAGTATACACACTGAAGGCAGACACACCTATGAGGCTGACCCTTATGAGATTTGGATACATTTTATGTAAAGCGATACTATATCTTTCACAATGTGAGTGGAAAACCAAAGCACATTAAACAACTGTAATCCCGGATAAGACACTATGTTTCTTTTCCCTTCTTTTCATGTTCCATATATGGAGGATTAAGCCAAGCAGCCAGCGGAGAATGATCTATTGAGAAGGCTGTGCTGAGGAGAGAGAGGTTCACGCAGTGGACACAGATCCATAATACAATCCAGTTTGAACAATACCATCTCAATTCATATAGAGGAGAACTATCATATGGCAAATCGTACGGTACATTACATGATGTACCCACCTGAATGACTAAATAATATACTACATAAATAGAAAAATATATATATTTTTTCCCCACATACATTTTAACATTATAGATGTTTTGTTCAGATTAAAATTAAACACAGAGGAGAAATATCAATCAATTTGGGAGATTATAGGAAAGAAACATTCACCTCTCCCACTTCATTTTTCGTTTTTTCACATTTATAGAAAATCTCATTTCTTTCACATTTATATAATTATGTATTTAAGTATCATGGTTTGATGAAATTGTTTGTTAATTGGTGGCACACACAGGTATTCACTATATCACATGAGGTAGAATAGATTGGAGCGCGGTACAAAATTGGATTATATGGTTTACATTTACACACCTAGAGAGGGTGTATGAAGTACCTGCGATCTAATATATATTTTTTTTATGCACGTAATTAAGTGATATAGTTTGCATTTAGTAAATAACTCCTTGTGGCTCACAAGTAACATCCCAACTCCACAAGAACCAGTCCTAATATTTCAATGAATTTGTTAAATAGGCCTTTGCTTACAAAGTTTTTTTGTAAATCTGAAAGACAAGTATTGCAAATTGGATCATATTGAGTATGACTGGCTTTTAATGGGATGGAAGTTATGGTTTTTTTGTTGACTAAAGAAAAGGGGTGATTTTTCTTAACGGACTTTCTGTGGGAGTCGTTAGTTTAACTTCCTCTGCAACTGTGGCTTACAGT